AATGAGTTCCCCGTTGCAAGTTGTTTGCAATTCACAAGGTCTTATTTCATCACCCGGTCCGATTTTGCTCAGTTGCCATAAACAGGTATTTTTCCACTGAATTACATTTAGCTCCACTATTATCTTTCGTATTGTAAATTTTGTCACGCTTTTCTCGGTAATTTTTACCCACTTTATTCTATTTGTTGTCCTGAGGCAATTGCGCAGATAGGTGAAATAGAAAATTTGAAATCAGTTGAAATCATTTAAAGTCATGAAATCGGAAACAAAATCTTATGAAATCACTTAAAATCAATAATTCCTTGAAATCACTTGAAATCAGCAATCATTGAGTCAAGATATTCGATAATGAATAACCCCTCGGGATGCTCAAATTTGGGCATTCGTATCAATTGATGACCCCTGCGAACGCCGAACAAATCTGTGGTGAAGAGGGCGGAAAATGAGGGTGCGTTAGGACCTCGCGTAATACAAGGGATTCACGGAATCGGTCCCCTTTTATAATTCTAGGAATTTCATTTTGACCCTTCATAATGGTGATGCTCGTCAATCGAGGGGGAGTGATAATGGGGTGGAAATCGCCATAATTTCCGATCCATCGGACTTTAACGAGCGCACGTGCGCATGGGATGACGTCGTGATCCCCTGACCGGCGATAAACAAAAGCATAATCTTGGGAAGGGGTGATCCCTTCATCCAGGTGTTATACCTTGTATTCATTAAAACTGGACCGGTGAAGAATGCCAAATGCATTGAATGGAAAAAGGGAAACGTACCGATGAGTGGGAAGTCAACTGTTAATTCGTTCATTTTCGTCATGGAGCATCTCAATTTGCACCTGGATCGGATGCGTTTCGAGGGCACGTTCGAGTGCTAGATTTTTCGGTGATTATTGGTTTTTCCATTAGGCAGATTTTTATGACCCTCTTGTGGTCACCCTCAAGCGGTTTCTGACGGACGTCTGGAAGTCGGTCTCCCCATAATTAATGTCACAGAGTCATCATCATTTGCGTATTTTATGGGGTTCTTATGGCCATTGACAGCATGACCTGGGTGTGGTTTTCCCCATTCCAAGATTGCAGTTTCCCCATAGGGTCCGAGTTTTCTCATTGGTCAGTTGTGCTCTTCTGCAGCCACGAAATCTACTATTCCCCTTGGTCACCGCAGCGACAATGGCGGTACTGTCATTTGGGTAATTTCTCGACGTTCAATAGTAAAATTTGGTAAAAAAAATAAAGCACTTTCAACACTTTTGAAAATTATTTTTTCCTCCGTGCATTTTACATGGCTTTGTCCGTGAAAAATTACCATGTTAAATCGTGAAAAATTAATTTCTCATCGTAAACGTTCGGTTAAAATAAATCAAATTTTTAAGTTTTCCGGTATCGTACTCGATTACTGTGTTCACATAGTAATTTGCAATTTTAAGTTCTCTCCATGTAATTCTACCTCTCCCCTTCCCTCCCCCGTTCCTGTCACATCATTGGAGCCGCAACGTCAACCCTCTGAGGGCTATAACTCATCGAATCAACCAAAATCCCTCAGATCTAGTTCAACACTCAAAATGTAAACATCGCAACAGGAGAATACTAGTCCAAAACAGTGATTGTAGTTGGTGATTTCGTACGATACAAACCTCAGCGATGGCAATTTCTCTGCGAATAACGTTGTCTCTCGGCTTCGTCTTCCTGTTTCCATCAGGAATAGCCGTCACTAAAAATCCGAAAGGAGCAACGTACTGCGAGTTTTACAATGCAAATCTCTGCGGAAAATCCGCGACAGAATGCCCAAAGCGTGAAGAATGTCCACCTCCATCGCCGGGTAAAAGAAATCACTGCTACGTACTGTGGCAGCACAATAATGTGACAAAAACATCCACTTTAAAAATGAAGGGCTGTTTTTTCGACAGCAAAGAGTGCTATGACAAAGTGCAATGTGTGGAAAATAATATCGACAGGATGAAGCAGATGTTCTTTTGCTGCTGTGATGGAAATATGTGCAATGATAATTACAAATGGGATCCAAAGCCTGTAGACAAAAATATTATAAATGGAGATTCTGAAGCAGATCAGAATCCTGATCTAATATTTATGACGACGGTGCTGTCTGTGTCATTATCCATCTCCATTCTTACTATTGTATTGTTCTTGCTCTATTGTCACTACAAACGTAAGCAATTTAGCCACGACAATCACCCATCCCCATTGGAACTCATTCTTCAGGAACAATCATCACCAAATTTAGATTTGCGGTCAATACAATTAGTTGAAATGAAGACGAGAGGAAGGTTCGCCGCAGTTTGGAGAGCGGAATTCAAGAATGAGACTGTTGCTGTGAAGATTTTTCCGAATAAGGGCAAACAGTCGTGGCAAACAGAGCAGGAGATTTTTAGATTACCGCACATGCATCATGAAGATATTTTACATTTCATTGGTTCAGAGAGAAATCATGATGACTTGAAAACGGAATTCTGGCTGGTTACGGTGTATCATGAAAAGGGTTCGTTGTATGATTATTTGAAAGCTAACGTTGTTACCTGGTCGGAGACGTGCAAAATTGCGGAATCCATAGCCAGGGGGTTGATGCATCTTCATGAGGAGATACCAGCTGACAAGGTTCATGGACAGAAACCAGTGGTTGCTCATCGGGATTTCAAGTCGACGAATGTTCTTCTCAAGGCTGATATGAGGGCTTGCATTGCGGACTTTGGACTGGCACTTGTTTTTCATCCGGATAAGCTGTGTGGAGATACTCATGGACAGGTAAGGATGTTTTATTTGGTCATCTGAAAGTTTCGAATGCATATTTCAGGATATGATAGGTTTCAGAAGGAAAACGCTGAAATGAGATGAGTCATTTCCAGATTGAGATCACATTTTTCAAAACATGTCATGACCAAAATTGTATTGAGAGTTACTGTCTACATGTTGTGAGACATTTTTTATAGAAATTCCTTGACATAAAAATCCCAGTTTCTTTCACTTTGTTTTTTCTCGTCTCATAAATAAATGAAACAAAAAATTTGAAAAATTTAAGCCGCAGAATTGTTACAGAAAATATCTCAATAGACGTTGAATAGGAGAATCAAACTTCATTGATTTTTTCTGTAAAATATTTTCCATTGAACATTTAGAATGAGAGAAGCGCGCAGAAGAGTTGCGGAATTTCAATAGAATCGGTGACAAACTAATGAAATTTTAAACGAAATGTAATAGAATTTTTTAACGATTTTGCTAGGTTTTTCTATGAATCTTTCTCTAGGTTAATCAATACAATAATTCAATAATATTCCAGGAAAGGAATTAAGAAATTATTGGAATTTGGTTTGAGAAGGAAAATGTTGAAATGAGATGAGTCATTTCCAGATTGAGATCAGATTTTTCAAAATATTTCATGACGAAAATTGTATTGAGACTTTCTGTCTATGGCTTCAACTTACCTTGAACTTTGTCGATTGAGACATTTTCTATAGGAATTCCTTGACATCAAATTTCCTCGTTTCTGTCACTCCATTTTTTTCTCCTCATAAAAAAAAATGAAACAAAAAACTTGAAAAATTGAAGCTACGCAATTTCTATAGAAAATAGCTCAATAGAAGAAATTGTATAGGAAACTTAAACTATTGATTTTTCGATAAAATATTTTCCATTCCACATTTCCAACGGCATTTCAATAGAAGCGGCGAAAGACTAATAGGATTTCAATAGAAATCTAAAACAATTACATAATAATAATCCGATAAAAGTTTTCATCGTCGATTTGAATTCTCTATTTTTTTATGTATTCTGTGAAAATGTGAGAATAGGATTTGAGTTTATGGGTATTGATTCATTATTCGAAAAAATATATCAATTGTAAAATTTTCCCTAGACATTGAAAAATTAAAAATTCTGTTCTCGTCTTGAACTTGTTTCTCTTCCTCTTTTTACTTTCTTCCATCAGAATTAGATAATAGAAAGAAAATACATTGGTTTTTCTTAATTATTAAGAAAAAAGCATTTTGAAATTTTCAAGATTGAAAAATAGATTTTTTAAATTTATTTCTGATTTTCCATCCCTACATGTTTCGTATTTCCTATTTCGGTGAACGGAATATGAGCACAAAAATTAAAAATGTTAATCTCTTTTCATTTTTTAAGAAAAAAACAATTTGACAAATTTCGAAAAGACGTAGAAAAATAGATTTTTTCATTTTATTGATACTGATTGATGATGATCGATCTCTCTTTGCAATTTCCTTTTTCGGTTCTATTGAGACGAGATTAAAACCATGTAAAATGTTCATATTCTTTCACATTTTTAGATCATTGATAGTAATTAATTTAAAGAAAAAAAAAATCAAAATGTTAGGTATGATTATCGATCTGTATTCTTACGTGATTTATGGAGAATTCTTCTTTATTCAATATTGTAACTTGTGAATTAAGGAACAAAAATATATATTAACAATAAGAATGAATAAAATTAAATTAATCTAATTATGAAGACGGAAATGGAAAGAAAATGAAATAAAATAGCATAGTATAAATTAATTCCTCTCAATGAAATCAGATCAAGAAAACGAAAAATTTCATTTTCATGATCTGATTTCATTGAGAGGAAATGAGAAAAATGCAGGGAGAGATGATCAGCAAGAAAATAAAAGAAAACGATTTTTTATTTTTCTGAAAAATTTAAAAACTGATTTTTTTTTAATGACGAAAAAATATCATTATGTTCCCTTTCTATGATCTAATTTCAATGGAAAAAAGTGAAAAAAAGAACAGAGATATGTGATCAGCAAGAAATTAAAAATTTCGATTTTTCAATGTCTCCGGAAAATTTATAAATTGATATATTTTTTCAAATAATGAAAGAATACCCATCAATTCAATTTCTACGCTCACATTTTGATAGAATACATTAAAAAAATTTATGTCGCGCCGTGCAATAAGTCGAGTTTATCTCACGCTACGGTTCGCGCAGCTTGCTCAAAACTCGACTTCTGCACGACTTGACATAAAATATTATAGAGCACTCGGTAATAAATTTCGTGTTCAACGAATGTGTGTACAGACCTCGCCTTCGGCTCGGCCTGTAAACTACGCATTCGTTGAAAACGAAATTTGTGCCCTTGTTTCCTGATGTACTAAAATATAGCCCGGTGGTTTAGCGCAGTGGGTAAGTTCGTTGCCTCATGCGAAAGGTTGCGAGTTCAAATTCCGGCCGGGTAGAATGGTGCGATCTAACCATTTAAAGTCTTGATCATCATCGCAGTATACCCTAACCGGGTCGAAGTGATGTAAAATAACGATAAAAAAAAAATTAAAAAAATAGCAAAAAATAAAAAGCGGAGATGAAAAATTTTATCGGAATAATATAATGTAATAATTAACCTAATGAAGGGCGCGAAGCGCCCGTTCGCTTGTTTTCTAGCGAATACGGTAGAGTTTTATATAAATTTTTCTCGTTCATGAATTCCTACAATAATTCAATAATATACAAGTAAAAGAAACAATCATCACCTTGCTCTCATCAGGTCGGCACACGTAGATACATGGCTCCAGAAGTACTTGAGGGAGCCATAAACTTCACTCGAGACTCATTCCTACGAATTGACATATACGCCTGTGCTCTAGTTCTCTGGGAATTAGCATCTAGATGTGCTGCTCACGATGGACTAATTGGAGAGTACACATTGCCGTTTGAAGAAGAAATTGGTATGCATCCAACACTGATGGATATGCAGGAGATTGTGGTGCATAACAAGGTACGCCCATTGATCTTGGAATCGTGGAGGAAACATTCCGGACTTCTTGCCCTGTGTGATACAATTGAGGAGTGCTGGGATCACGATGCCGAGGCCAGACTCTCAGCTTCGTGTGTCACCGAGAGAATTTCTGGTCTTAGCCAGAGTCTAGATGTTGATTTTTCAACTGTGATTAAGGTAGACAATATTGATAGATCGATGGACATCAAAGGATTTGACATGTGATCAGTTTTCATTTTAATTTTTTTAATTTTTGATTTCTTTATATGCAATTTTCTTTGGTAATGCTATCATATGACAGATTGTTGGAGATTGTGCGTGACTTGATGAATTTCATGTAGAATTTACTTTCTCCTCATATAATTTTTGGTGTTGCGTGAGAGAAGGGATATAATACAAAAAGATTCTTACGTACCCGTTCATTCGTATCAAATTCTTGACAATGAAAATGAGAAATAATTATCCTGAAATGGAATTTTATTAATTTTTTAAAATTAAATTTTGGATTTTTATCGTTCTCACGGGGATCGAATAAAATACCAAGGGATCATTGTTCACAAAAAGATTTTTTTATTACTTTAATATATCATCAAATTTTTCAATTTACATTTCTAATAATTGTAGAACAAGAATGTAATGTAACAATTTTCCACAGTGCTTTGATAACATAGCAGTATATGAAGAGTAAAATAATAATAATTGGTATGAGCGAAAAATTCAGAATTGAAAAAATGTAGAATTGAAAAATACTTATTATTATTTTGTTGAATTAAATCATTATTCTTTCAAATTTTTGGTTTCTTTCATGAGTATTCCTCACATCTAGACCAACTCCAAACACCGCTATATCAAATATATAATGTGAAGTGTGAGTTTTTCTACTTCCCTTAATGGAGTTGCCTCTCAACTCAGAGACTATGCCCATCTAAAAATGATGTTTAGAAAAGAATTGTTCAGAGTCTTTTCTTAATAACCGAACACCGATTAATGACTAACGAATATAGTTAACTGAATGCAATAATTAAACGTAAAATAAGACGGATTACTGGTTCAATTTCACGCGCGGTGCTAAGATTTTTTGGGAAGCGGACATCCATTCAAGTCCAACTTCCACCCGTACTCAACTGAATCAAGAGGTCTCAGAGTGGCTTCAGCCCTTAAGATGCTTGGATAAGTGTTCCCACGAGGAACACATCCATACACACGGGATATTTCGCATACACACTGTTATAGTATGGAAATTGAAACAAATGTTAATTTTTCAAATGTTATTGAGAGAATAAATGTTCATTCTGATACTAGAGATAAGAATCGAATATGAATATGAAAGAAGTTGTCTTATTACTGGCCTCGAGGCAACGAATTCACGAGTATTGATTCACTCGTGGTTTTGTATCCATCGGCTTCTTCTCAACGCAACGTGAAAGATTGTAGAGTGTGGAAGTTCCTTCGTGGAAGTAATGGTATAGCACTTTATGAATAAAAGGATATCCACATACAGAAACATTTCACTGTGCTTTCATCATAATTATCTAATGGACGCGAGCGGTTGGGTTCGATTAAATTCATCCCCTTAAGGGATAGACCACACGTGGATAAATAATACGAATAATTATCTTTTTGGGAATTGATTTTTAACGATTAACAGTTTATTATATAAATAAGAGCTCCGTCTGACACTGAATCAGGTATCAGATGAGTATAAAATATAAAGAAGGTAATTAAAGAGTTGTGACGTTTTGAGTTAGATCACCCACCGCATTAATCCTGAGTGATCTAACATGTGACTAGTCCCTGGGACTAGTCACAAATAGAAATAAGCTTTCCTTTCCTAGGGCCGTCGTACCCTATGTTGACCGGCTAACTGTCGCGTGGGATTCACTCAAGCTGGGAATGATAAGGGAATTGGAAGGTATTGTACCGAAGATAAATACACGATTAACTGGTAAAAGCATGGTATATTTAACTCAACTACTAACTACGGTACACGACAGTGTTATTGATGGGTTCGGTAAATGCGTTATTAATATTTGAAGGAGCTGGGATGACCGTCCAGCTTCACTCCCGATCGTACTCTGACTCTAAAGGAGTCCTCAAAACTTGGCAAAGCCCCCAGTTTGCTGAACTAAGCAGTCTCACGGTTTTCTTCACTAACACTGTCTCGTGTCATCACTGACAGAGACTCTAACAGTCAAACAGTTCATCGTTCTGAACTGGACTCCTGAAAAACCGTGGGACTGCTTACCACGGTGTCCAAATGACACCGTGGGATTGCTGACCAGTGTCTGGATGACAGGAAAGAGAAATCCTATTTCCCACCACCCAGCATTATACTATTATATTATATAATTATTTTCTAAATCGACGTATTAATCGATCTCAATACGTCACAGAGTCGTCGAATTACTGGTTAAGAGGCAACGAATTCACGAGTTTTTATTCCCTCATGGATTCGACTAAAATTATATTTGAATAAAAAGAAAAATCTTAAATACTACACTATTCCCTAACCTATGTCCATTATACGCACGAATATTTTATTGTTATTTATTTAAGCTTTGAATTTTGGTCATGGGGTAATGCGGCTTAAGAGCAAATACAAAATAAATCCAACTGAAACCAATAAAAAAAAAGATAATATAGATAACATAAACTATTTTATTTATAGGATAAGTCAAATAAATAATAAGAAGAAATGATAGGATAAGTCAATTAAAAAACTAAAATTAGCGAAATTAACTTCCAATTCCTTTTGAGCGAAGACGCCTTCAGATCTCACCATTCTAACTCTAAGATACCGGATATAATCGTCTCACCAAATTTTTTTTAAGACAGTCAAAAAGTTTCTGGACGGAAACTGGACGCAGGTGACACCAGAATACTGATGAAATTCGTAAATTTTTGGTTTTCGTTATGTAGCCGATGGTTATTAAAAATTAAATAGTTTGAATATATTCCTACCTCAATATTTTTGAAAGTATTTAGAAAAGAATTTTCATCAGCTAGAAGTTTTTTATAAATTGAAGTAAATAATTTTTTTTTATTAGGATAATGTTTTGAAAATGTATATTCGTATGGAGTTTAAAAACACATCTAATATTGTGAAAAATCTAAATAAAATGTTATTTTTAACTTGTTTTAGTCGATATGGGGATCATTTACACTGAAAATTTTTAAAAAGTTTAAGAGAAAATGCTAACAACAGTGGTTCGACAAGTGAACTTAATCATAATTATGTTATGCCCCGAAAACCGGAGCATAATTTCTCAACTTCAATTATCGAACACCATGCGGATGTGAGGCGATGTCCACGACGTCAGAGCCACAAGTAAATAGTCGGGAGTCTGTTGCCTCGGAGCCAGTAGTTCGGGGACAGACGATATCTTTATTCACCTACTAATTTCCGTATCAGTGCGAACTCACGCGATTACTTGTAAATGTGTATGTCCACGTGAAAAGGGCCCACTTTGCCGCATTTATTTTGCAAGATATTCACGTTTTTAAAAAATTGATTTTTATCTGATTTTTTTATCTTCTATACCGACGTCATTTTTCATACTATCATGTCAATTTTGCGCTCAAAATGTGAGGAATCTCACTAAGATTATCGGAATATACGTAACTCCAAACCGATAAAGTGGGCCCTTTTCATGTAGATCCTCACAAATAATTGCTACGTCGAGTTAGATGATAATTAAGAGTTACGTCATGATTTCGCAGTCTTACCTTTGATAAATCCGGAAATATGAGTATTAAATTGACCTGTTTTAAGCCTATCCGTTAGGATAATAGCTTGGGATAGGTATAAGTGCTTATCAATCTATCCAGAAATAAAAACACAAAGAATTAATTAAGAATGTATTTTTAGCTTTAATCCAATATTTCAACCTCTTCAAATTTTTACAATATTTCAGAAGAACAATATTGATTCAATGCGGAAATTGACTGAATTATTCGATTCGATAATTTTATAAAATTTGTTTAAATCCTTTGAATTCTCTTAAATCAAATTAATTGATTGATTAAATTTTATTTTTGTGTCCTCTCATCTGTTCTCTGAGTTTTACGTCAGAATCAATGAACAAATTTAATCATCGAGGACTTTGATTCTAAACTTGAATGAGATTAGCATTAATTTAAATTGATTACCCGAATTAATGATTTGCATAAAATATTTACTATTTGTGATCTTCGAAAATTCAAAGAATATTTAATTCCTTCAATAAGTAAACGAAAATTCCTCTTAAAGGATTAAAATCCTGTGTTAGACGGATGTTATGTCCGGAGAAATTATTAGCGTCGGAGGACTATATTTTTAATTAGTCATTGAAAAGAAGGCTAAAATGATTAAGATTTGAATTTAATGGGACGACGCAAAGTTTATACTCTTATCTTTAAATAATAAGGAAAATTATCAAATGTGTTTTAACTGGAATTTTCCGGGCGGAACGGAATTTTATTATTTGGGGAGAGGATTCAGTTTAGGGATATCAAAAGATTTAGAGTTGAATTTGATTTTAATTGCGAATTCCGAATCAATTAATTTACAAAAAAAAAAGTATTTAAATTACAAAAATTTGACAACCGAATTATTTCGAATTTCTCTACCCCTGGAATGATCTGAAGGATCTAATTTTGGTCTTATGTCACAAATCATTTTACTCACAGTTAAATTGGCTTTTTACAGTTATATAGTGTTATGTATAGATCCTTGGGTAAATCCGAAATTTCCTTACCAGCAATCAGTCAAGCTAATAGCTATTATGGATACTTTCGCGAATACACTTTCTTCTACTCTTCTACTTCTTCCTACTTCTACCCGGAATTTTTACTATGCAGCACCGAAATTTTTCTGGTGCTAGACAATTGAACCCACTTTACTAGACGGCACAGTAATTTTTGCCTGAATTTCGCCTGAAAAAATTTTGGAATTTTTTTCTCCGTGTACTTTCCCGATGACGATTTTGTAACATCATTCAAGTATCCTTTAATTATAACCCAGTTTAGACATTTATCGCTATTATGACTCGAAAACCGCATCGACATCCTATCCTCATCCTTGGACCTCTGAGCGAACTGCGAGCCGCGAACCGCCGAGACAACCGAGAGTGGCGATTAATGGAGTCTATTGTCAATACACAATAATATTAACAGTGGAAACGCTTCCACGTTGTATTGATATGACGGAAATCGATTTTCAACTATTACGAACTGTTATTTAACCCAATTACCGATGAATTGTTTTCCCACATTTCGCCATTTTGTAGTAGTGTGCCTGCAGCTGCCGCACTTCTGTTACGGCGCAATACTACGCTGATGGAGCCCTTACTTGCCTCACACGTGGACAATTGTAGACGTTTATCGGTCAATGCGTTAATGGACGAAAGCTGTTCTGAAATCATTCCACCGATTTTCTGTAAGTTATACTTTGCCAAATGCAAGAAATGTCCAAAGAGCATATTTCTGATATTTCTCCGTGTCACGTCATAACGAGGTACAAAAATTATTATTGATTCCATCTTTTGGAAATAATAATTTCTAAATTCAAAAAAATATCATATTCAAATACCGATGGAGTCATACGATTCGAATGGTATTTTATGTTAATCATCTTCCATCCGGTGAGACGATGGAATTTTTTTTTTTTGAGAACGATCACGTGATCATTCTCGTGATTCATACCACCCGGGTGGTATAAACGCACGTTACCAAGGGCCTTATCACCCTGGTTTCGGGTTGGTGTTGCGAGGCAGTCCACCT